CACACAAACCACAGCCCACTATGCGTCGGCAAAATTGCGAGGAGGGGTATCCGATATTTCCAATCCTTCCGCAAGCATCACGTAAAATCAAATTTAAACGCATTCCAATCGTATTGTAATAGGTAATATAATTTAATCACAAATACGACGCAGGTACGTGCTGATATCGTTTAACACGCATTTTTTCTTCTGTTTGGCATGATGTACACTTGTTAATTGTCATTATATAATGTTAAAAAATAATATTTTCCAGTAATATTTTATGTTACGTTATTGTGCAAAAATCCAGTCTTTGCGAATAAAATACTTTATGAACATTATTTTTTTATTGATGAAAAATTCATTTACAAAACAATGTATTTATTTATTAATAAATAATCAACATGTGACTATATAACATGCGTAACTTTTATCAGTTTAACGACATTGTCTTCGAAATTGGTACACTCTCGACGAGTTACACCAGAAGGTATTATAGTTTATAAAAAGTGAAATAAAAACTATGGTTAATTAAAATTCAATTTTCATAGAAATATACCTATTATCATCGCAAATCAATATACTGGCAGATGATGACCGTAAATAAGTCTAACTGTCTTATAGACATTATTAATTTAAAATAAATYCATCGATCCGATTGGAACCAAAAATGTTATTAATTTCTAGTATATTTAGTATTAGTTTGAAAATTGAATCGTTCTAATAATTAAGTTGTAGTTATTTAATACGTTTTTTTTTTTAAATAACTACGTTTATATACACAATATTATGCGTTACGATCCCTATTCTCTATACCTACATTATATTATTACATAGCAAAACTATATTTTATTTTACCTACCTTCTATATGCAGTTATATAATTTTTTTAAATTAGTCCACTCTTCCTGTTTGACAGATTTTGGTAATATTATAAATATATGATATCAAAATCGATGAAAATATATTTACCGGTATAGCTGATTTTTTATTAACTGAACATGCCACTGTGATGGCGGGTCGATCCTATATATRGCACCCATCTCCCCCAGCAATTCAATATGTCTCTGAAGTACGGATACTTTCGTTAAGTTTTTCAACGTCTGCTGATTGTATAGGATAAGTGCAGAATCGTACGCGTTATTATATTTTCTGCGACCGTGGCTGGACAGTCACACACAAAACGATATCATCGTCGCGGATGTTTAGAGTCTGTTTAACGTCAATTACGGCCGCGTCACGGTTATTCGTATACTATTTAATATTATATATATATATATATTATATATGTATGATAATATACATTATAATTATAATAGTATATACGCGACGAGCGCATTGTCCCTGGCCGAGACCCATTCGCTTACACAATGCGGTTCAGCATCCGGACGCCCTCGTGGCCGCTGTAGTCGTCCCGGGCCATTTGCCAGTTCCTTCCGAGAGCAATATAAACGCCCGTACCGACGATGACGATGATGACGACGACAACGATGATATCTCTATTAACCATATATATATATATATAATATATAAACATAATATGTGTGTATGTGTGCGTWTACGAGCACTGCCGACCGCCCATGCGATCATCCCCCGTCGTATTATATAGAGCCACGGATGCACCCTGCGGACTTTAAAAACTTCCGGTTCCGGTCGGACATCATTGCAGTACACACGTATACAYATATACACACAAACATACGTTTTGTCGCATCATGTATATCTGATGTAGCGGAGGTAACCGTTATAAATATATACACATACAAGTATCGAGCACTGGACCGTGTATATAATATATATATATATATTATATATATACTGGAAACGAGTAAACGAAAAGCTATATAATAGTATCCGATAAAAGTATAGGTAAATGTATACATAAAGAAATAGCTAATACGCTAGTTATCTCTCGCACCGACGATATATTGTATAAAGTGGTGGTGAATTTAATAGTATAGTTTAGGTGGTGTCAAAAGCACTTTTGTCTAGGGCTCCCTCCCACCCACATTAGAGATTTTTATTGAAATAAATAATACGACCAGCGGCGTATTTACGGGGGGGATTTGGKGGATTGATCCCCCCTTGGTCTTTTTTTCTATTATTAAAGAATTTACCTATATATATAACTAGACACTAAATCGTGTTTAGTATTTTTATATGTGATATTCAATGCGTCATCCCCTCCCTATAACAATTCTTATACGACCATCGCATCAAAGGAATTTAGTGTCCGTTTCAAACTTGGAAAGAATATATTCATGATGCTGATGGTCTGAGGCTATTCCGTCACATTGTTGGTACCTACGAATTGGCCACCGACATTTATAACTACAATACTTTTACACRCTAAATTCACCAAAACCGACGCGACGGCCCCGACGCGTATTAAGCCACATAATGGATAAAAGAAGAAAACAAAGATTTACCTCCGACGGTGAAGCACAGCAATGCCTGCCAACGGCGATGTTCATAATACTCGACGGATCTGTATATATATTATATATTTAATCATTTATTGGTTGCGAGGTTGCAAGTTTTGCGCGCGCGAATCGGTTWTTAGACACTACAAAATATTATATTGTATTATTTTCGGTATCAAACCACGACCGATATCGGTTTGGCCATACGCACTGACTGAATGCTATTCCACACAGTGTACACTGTTATCGGGAATTCCTTGGCACCGTCGCCATTGTACAGGTATATCTATCGGCTATCCTTGAGCCACCGCTGGAATATTAATTTGATAATCACCCCACCGGTTACAGCTGAAACGTGGTTTTTTAATACGTCCGACCAGTGCCGTATTTACGATATTTATTTATACCTTTCTGGTCAGTGGTCGRTGATAAAAATAGTGAAGTCAGTATAGAATACAATTATTTTTCAAAACTGTTGTTGATTGTAATGTCCTAACTAGGTAACGCAAATTATACTTCTCGTCCCTAGATACAAATAATTAATTGATATTAAAATTAAATTATTATTAATAAGTGTTTAATTAAAATAATCGCCTTATGACCGTAAAATTATACCGTGCTCTAACTAAATCTCTCTTTAACACAAGCTTAACATTTAAAAAGAAACCGAATTCTTAATTTATTTTATCTTATACTATTACTAATTATATTATCTATATTAGTAAAAAGGACTCGATGTAGGAATGTAGGATGACAGTGTCGCAAGTTTTCACACCGCCTCTGCTCGTTAAACAATATAATATCACATCGTCTATGTTGTTCAAAAACATAATGACTGTACTACACGTAGCATATTTTTATATTTTGGTGTCCCCTACTTAATCCATTATGTCGTGAGTGAGAACGCCGATCAACTACAAAATATTGTTATTTATCAATACAGCGAAGACTGCACACGTATCAATATTATGTTAATATAATGTAGGTTTAATACATCAATTTTTAATTTAAATAAATGTATTCTATTGAACTTAAAGTTTAATAAGTTTTGACTCATAATTTTTATTTTTGKCGCAGCACGACATTCCCTTATTTTCGGCCTACTAGCGTTGAATATTAGTGTATTTCAGTCTCTGGAAAGTGGAAAGGCGAGAGATTTGTATTTTTCACAAAGTATTATAATTTATAAGTATTAAATGACCCATTGGGAAGACACGATACCCAAAATCCACCCCACCCGTCACTGGGTCGGGTTGCGATTAYGTCACTGCTACCAACTATGGTATATATTGAAATTTAAAATTGCATTTCTCGTATCATAATATTATAATAATGTAATATAATATTTTTATATGTTTAATACTGTATAATTTGATAAATACCTGAGGATACCTTTGATCTATATATAATATGAGTATATGTACCATCCAGACACACGATGCCCCGTTATTTATGGTTAAAAATAATTTACTGAACAATGCACAAAAACATAAGATAGTTACAACAAAAATATATCGAAACAGTATTTATTGCCACTTACAACAGTAAAGTACATTAATGCCTAATACAAAATGTTAAAATGTATAATTGATGTAAAACAAATAATACATTAATAAACTGTCTGCTGTATAATAGTAGACAGTAGATGTCTATATTATTAAATTTTAATTTAGACGTTTTAACTTTAAATGTGTAAACAAAATAAAAATATAGTTTCCGAGGCTTAATTTATTCAAATAAAAAAATAAAAAAATATTTCCAATGCCTATATTTTTGAAATTTTCAAGTTTCTGTGAGGTTAACTTATGAAGAACTTTGACCTATGAATTATATTTTCAAGTTTTTTTACTCGAAATCAAAAATGTTAGAGCATAACATATAAATYGAGTATAAGCAAAGTTAACTAGAACATTTTAAACAACCATAACTAGTGCWAAGAGAACGAAAATATTTTGAAAGTTAGGTATAACTTTAACATTATATATAATGTTTAGTAAATACTAATAAGAATATTTGCAGGTTATAATTTAGGTCTCTACAGTAATTCATTTTTGAATTACAACAAATGTACAATATCGATTTTGTCAAAAACTAATTTTGTGTAAAAATTCTCGTTTTTAATAATTTCATATTTGTTTCGTCGGTTGTTTTGATAGATAGATACCTATACTGAGTAACAGATACTATTATTTCGTTATGTTCCCCAAAGGGGCCAAAGGTACCAACTATATTTACAATTTATTACCAGACTTAACTTTGGAGTTGAAGATTGAAACGTTTTGTYTAAACTCTAAAATATGTGAATAGTATATGTATACATATTCACTATAGTAAGATCTATATATCCATCGCTTCGCTAAAAATCTAAAACTATGCATGAATTATTAAAATAATAAATTAAGCCGAAATAACGTAGGTATAATATAATACTTATGTCAATAATGAATAATGATAATATAATAACTCTAAGTTTGTGGCTGCTGCATTTTAAATTTTAAATGATAATATATTATCCTTTGTTATTTTAAAGAACCATCAATATAGATAGGTAACTAAATTACCCATGATTAATATAATTTCGTTTATATTTTGTTAACAGAAATGGATTCAGACCTGTATCTGACCCCGCAATATCCAGACCAATCTTCCTTCCACCTCATTTTGGATCATTACCATCGCCGTTATTCAGTGGTCTCAAAGGTAAGGATCAAATAAAAAACATATAATKTGTATTATAATAATAACAATATCATAGACTATAGTAGTATAGTCTGAAAAACTTAAAAATAGTATATTTAATGATATCACTTATAGACAGAAGTGTAACTGGAGAAAAAACCTAGGTGGGAATATAATTTATATACTTTTAATTAAGTTACAAACGATTAAAGAGCAAAATTGTACAAAAAAAAGTACATAATACTGTCRATGTTTGATATTAAAATTCGAAAGTGGCAGTTCTGGCGAAACGCACCTATATTTTAGGCATGAAATTATTCTGAAAATATTAAAATAAATGTATTCAATACAATAATATATTATGTTCTTTAAATTTTTAACCGTAAAAATTAAAACCACAAATAAAAAAATCTCAAATTATTATTTTATTATTTTAATACACTGATTCTATTATTGGTGTTTGTGTTGAAATTGAATGAAATTAAAATAACAATTATACCTGTTATTATTTATATTTAATCATACTAGACAAACTTTATTTAAGCTGATAATGTTCAATACATAAAATAGTTATGTAAAATTAAAAATACCGTAGTYAATTTTCACTAAATTGAATGGTGTAATCGATATTGTATGATAATGGATGATCAAAGTATATAATTTGAAATATATTACTTATTTAATAGAGTGTCAGTTGCTAAATTGAACTTTCTCAAAATGAAATTACAAACCACACTTAGTCATCGAAGAATATTTTACTCAAATAATGAGGATAAATTAAGGATCACATTCAAATTGTATATCTATATAATATTTTACCTAATATGCACTAAATTCATAACTTGGAAATTAAACTGAAACTATACTCATCAGTTTTACTTCTGTATATACGTTTCGAAGACGATTTATTTGATATGCCATCATCAATTACCTTTATTAAATGTTTAGTACTTATTGGTACTCTGTGTACTTTATTAATACTTTGTGTGCTATGYTCCTAAACTAAACATTGGTACCATAATATCATATACTTCAAAACAGCATGATAATACGAAATTCAATATTAAAAAGGTCTAGGTATAAAATAGGTTTATTTAAGATAAAAATAGAATTATATAAATATATTYCCATAACTGAATATTATATTATGTATAATATAGTGTAAAAGGAAACAATAGGACATATAAAATGAAATACGCTACGGATATAACATATATGAATTTTAAATGGAATAAAAAAAAAATTACTATTCAAAAAATTCTAACGCGGATAAATTTCTAAATTGAAGTTCGATTAAATCTTAAATTTCARACTAAAGTGGCCTTAGTGTTTACTAATTATTAATCGAAGAATCGGGGATTAATATATACATATATATATATTAATATATAATATATTAATTTGATATAGTGTTTTAAGAACGATTGATTAAATGATTTTATACTTTTATAGTTTGCAAAATGTTGTTTCTATGTTCTATCAACTATTAAAATCTAACAATAAAATAGGTATTCAAAAATAAATATAAAAACATTTAAACAAAAGTGGGAGGATCAATCTTGAGCATTAATAAGGTCCATAACGAATTTACAAGTCTAAGTTGAAATTTAAATTGGATTGAATCAAATAAGATTATTTACTAAGTATAAAACTTTACTGCGGATAAGTAGGTATAGTAAACACTGCGAATATACCATATTTTAGAAAAATGCWCGCAAATAAATATGTATTCAATAATATGCTTTAGCTGGTTGTAAAATCTCGTTGAATTTCATAAAAAATTACGGTTGTTCGTTTCTTGTCCGACTAAAAGGTCGGGCACACTATGATATTACATAAAATAGTATTATTATAATGTTACAGCACCTACACGTAGAAGTATATATWTTTTTTTTTCAATATTTGTTATCATTACAATTCAATTTATATTATTATATTTTTATATGACATGGTATGTAAAAATGATTAGGTACAGCATAATAAGATATAAATTATATCATATAATCTACCTTCTTTAAGAATAATGGTATCAACACGGTGTGGTAGAGGATTTCGATGCGAATTCAACAGATTAAAATGTTTTTTTTTTCATTAATTTAATATTATAATAATTTTAAGATTCCGATAAACCTACGAGTACCGTAGTATGTAGTCCTAATAATATGTAGTCATAGAAAATATTATGGACCTGTAGATTATCCACGAATCTCTTATCAAAAGATTTTTTCGAATGATTGATTTTGATATGCCCTATTTTCTCTATAATTAATTATATAAATTAATATAAACAATATACAAATAAAGTGGTGGCAATCAAACACAATTTATTTTTTCATTTCGCCGCACTTAAGTTTACGTGCATTAAACTTGTATATTATACTGACTTGATTATTAAATTCATATTTTCACGACTGCAGTAAGTCAGTACGTGTGATATATATACAGTGAGGTTGGATAAGACAACATATATACATACCAATGTCGGGATATTTATGCACATAAACACACGCGTATATAATATATAATAATATAGGTTTGTCATTATAATTGGCTTAGAGAGCGTTGGTGGTTTCATATACACACCACCGCGGCGTACACTTACCATTACTCCCGCGATATATCTCGAGTCCACCGTTGGTATATAAGCGGATGAGGTGAGGGGTTTATCGCGTTATGTATAGTTGTGGCGGAATGGGTGCGGATCGCGGGCGGTCGGTCGCGAGTATAATACACATATATACAGAGTGCAGGCACCTGGGGCTCTCCATCGAACTCCCGAGGCCCACATACACACTACCGCGCTCGCGCCCCCCCCAATGATTCCGGCAGTCCCGTTTCCATAATGGAATAACTTTGGGAGATTTATCGTGCAGGAGGCGGCGGTGGCTTTCGGCACCAAGTTTACGACGGGTATATAATAATAATAATAATAATAATAATAATACTCTATACACGCGCCCTACGCCTATATATATATATGTAGATGATTATATATACACACACACGTACGCCTTATTTATGTTGGTGGTGGGGTAGCAATACATATGTGTGTGTGTGCAGTGGGTATATATTATATTATAATATAGGGTGGAGGGGTGTGCATATGGATAGAGTGTGAGAGAAAGAGACGACGACGAGGAAGAAGTTCGTGGCGCGCGGGCGCGTTATGATAATCAAACGGATCCCTTAATAAATAACGMCGAAACGACTGCGCGGGGTAGCGGGGTAGGTGTATGCCGCCGTCGCGTCGTTATTAATGGATCGAATGCGGCGGCGGYGGAGAAAGGGATGCAAATATTATATATACACTGCAGATATTATTATTATTATATAATATTGTGGGCAGAGGGTGAAGCGACGGTCGGCGGGCGCGTCTTTCGTGAGACCACGTGACGGTGGCGATGTATACCTATATACATTATACATAATATATTATGTATATATATATATATACACGCTAGTGACTAAATAAATTTGCACCGACGCCTTTTCGCGCGCTGCAATAATCATAATTGTTATTATACGACTATATTATTATAACACGGGTGCGCGTATATAAAGTTGTATAGCTGTTGCAGAGTAGTAACTAACCGACYGCGATCYACCGAATTTTTCCCAGTCATTAATATTCGTGCGTCCGAAAACGGATGCGACTGCGGCGGCGGTGGTTTCGCCGGCGCTTACGAACCGCGTGTAGTATTATCATCATTATCATTATTGTTATAAGGTAGWCAGAGCAGTGGAGGTGGATCGTCCGTTGAAGTGACGGGGCTGGGAGGGTGAGGTAGAAGTAAAGGATTTTAGCGGTCTGATTTTTTTTTTTTTTCATAAACATCCCTTTCCTTCTAACGAAATTATACCGACGCTGTGATAACGAAAACGTCAACCACGCCGCTTAGGTAATTACTTACGTCATTATTATCAATTATAATATAATACACTTTACAGTTACTGCAGGTAGGCTACTCGAGTATCCGTCCGAACCATCGTTATCGGCCGGATTTTTTTTTTTTTTGATTTTGTACACGAATATGAAGTTTTAAACGCTACTGCGGCGGGTGGTTAAAAAAATCCCGTTTCTCATTGCATTCCTACATTAATTATTGGGTGAGTCGTTAAATTCCAACGTGATCTTAAAATTATCAACACATAGGACCGAATTCTGACCTAAGTTTCTGAAGTCAAAGGCTAACTATACCAAACTTTTTCTTTCAATTAGGGCTTTTAGAGAGTCCAGCATATACACATTGTTTAGTGAAGGCCTAGATTGGCACTTGCATTAAATCCAGTCCTGAGTTCACAATATAATAATCGCATCGAAATAGTTGACGAATTAATATCACGTACCAATGCTTAATGAATTTATAAATAAAATCAGTCATCAGATTATAAAACCTGTATCAAAAGTTAGTAAATTCTAAATTGCTAAAACTTTATTAGGTTTATGTGAATTCCGAATACATAATAATTACTATAAATATCAATACAGATCGAGAAAAGCAGTTATATGCTTTGTGTATCTACCAAGGTACAAAAGTTCGGTAAATCGAAATTGCTTATTTTTTTTGTCAATCGAGAGTGAAGAATAAATCAATTTTGTTATTTGGAATGATATTACTTACGATAATACGCAGAGAAAAATAAGAGAAACAACTTAAACACCGCTACAAAAAAAAAAAAATAATAATAATAAATAAATAAAAGACCCACATAATTTGTTTTTACATAAAACTGAAGCAAATGACTGATTCAAAAACAGTATACCTATTTGATAAAATATCCATGTCAACACCGTTAGAGTGTAATGTAACATGGTTAGTAAGCCGTAAACAAGCGAAAATTGCTTAATTAACTAAATATCTTCTTACAGTACCCGAGTTACGACCAACACTATTTTATTATAATGTTGCCAAGGAAACAAAGAATTATTTTCCACGTCACCATAATAAAATTACAAAATGTTTTATTCATAATGAACGCAGTCGTTTCTTTACATTTACTTTCGACGTTCCATAAAATGTTCAAAATGGTTTCTTCATTATTCAATTTAGAGAATAATATGAAAATTAGAGTTAATTGAAAAAAATATCATAATTAAAATTGAAACACCTAATAAAATCAATTTATAATATCAAATACTGGCAGTTACTTGTAGGTTTTTAATAATATAATTGTGTTAATTGTTATAATATTAAGCCACAGATGGCAAAAATAAACTGAAGTATCAAGTCTTGACTGACACATTTTTGGATTAATTTACCATAGTTATATTAGCAAATTATATTGCTTTCATAAAGTTAATTAAAAAATGCATTACTTATCATTATTTCAGTGTCAGATTTCCAAATCTTCGCTCACCGATTAAATTTGTTTTGTAATTAAATTTTGTAACTTTAATAAATAATACCATTGAAAGTATTAATTATTAGTAGGTATAACACTACTATATTATCTAAAATCAATTTTTTCTGTGTATATSTGTGTTTGTATTTTTTTCTTACTGTTGGCACTAGGGATCATATAAGATGCATTTTAAGACTTTAAATCGATTGAAATTTGTGGAATTGTATCGCAGTAATATCATATATTATATAGGTATCTATAAAATATTACACTTTTCGTTACTAAACTATAGCAAAACACGCGTACAAAAAAATCTCGCAGATAGTTTAACTTTAAAAATGTATTATTGGTGCCTGATTTACAATAGTTCAGAAATTCAAAAAGTTGTCCAAAATCTAAATCGTATCGATTTTATTTTTGTTTAAAATATATTTTCAACAATATTGATATGTACCTATTCACTATTMATCCACTTTATGCTTATTTTGGTAATTGTCGTTTAAAAAACCCGACTTATCCATAAAAAAATGCATCGCGTTTTTTATTATTGAAGTTTTGGATACACCATTTTAGCTATTAAAATTAGTTTTTAATTGCAGTACAAATGGTAGCAGTCAAGAAAAACCCTAGCTATTTGTCCGATAGATATGTTATTTTCATTTAGGTTTTGAGACGAATCGCAAGTTTCTCAAACGACTTTTATAACGTTATTKTGTTATACGTTATTCTACATCGTTTATCGCCTATAAAGTATAATTAACATCATATAGAATTTGACAACAACATTATACCATACTTAAAGTACTTATRCGTATTAAAAAATCAATGAACAATAAAAGATGTTTACCAAAAAATTAGTTTCAATGTTGCACTATACTTTTCAAAATCACCTCACTACAAGACGAGTTTATCTTTTAAAATCTTTGTATACACTGTTCTTAAATAACTATCTCTGTACCATCAATACATGCGTTTCATTCATCCACAGGGTTCGGATGCAGCTGTTGCACAATGAAGCCGTTCGGGTCGATGGCCGACGGAGGCGGCGGCGCCGAGCACCGTTCGTCCAGTGTGGCCGAACTGCGGCGCAAAGCCCAGGAACACTCGGCCGCGCTATTCCACAGCTTACAGCACGTGGCCAACATGCAGCATCACGCGGCCGCGGCCGCAGCTCTCCAGTTGCCCGTCGGTCTCGGCCTCCAGTTGCCGTCGCTCACGTCCACCCTGCACGCGCTGGCGGCCAACCGGAAACCGGAACAGCAAATGCCGCACCCGCAACCGCTGTCACTGACCACGACCAGCACTACAACCACCGCGGCCACGACGGAACAAGCCACTTCGGTCTCGCCGCAACATCCACCAACGTCGTCCGACAACTGAATCTCGCGACCGGTCCAATACCTAAATTATTAGGGTCGTTGTCGCAATTTCCCTCCCCTCCTCTCACCACGTGAACACCTCGTCAACAGCAGCCGGTTCGACCCGACGCGTACTCTTTGCCATATTATTATAATAATAACATTACTACTATACTATATCGTTATCCTTATCATCAGTATGAAACTATATTAGTCGAGCGCACATATTGTACAKTATGTGTGTGAAGGATATTGATCACGATTTCAAATTATCGACTGCAATCAATAATTATCCAAGAACATATAGTAACATATATAGTATAATATTATATGATCACGAAAACCGCTGCCAAAAGACTTGCAAAATCGCATCGTTTGTACAGAATAAAATTACATCGATTAAAATAATGTTAAATTAATCGTTACGTTAACTTGTATATTATGTCGGTTTCTGTTCGTTTGTCTTTTTGTTTTTGTTCACATTTTTTTTTTATAACTCGTCTGATAAATGTATCTTTCTCTCTCTCAATCTCTCTCTCACTTTCTCTATTATATTGAACATTATTATGTACAGTATTTTCATATTCCAATTATATACATCATTCTAGTGTTATAGTTACGTATTAGTATTATTATTAATATTATTATAAATAAACACGTGACGTTATAATTTACGGATAACATATTTATATTAAGCGTAGGAAAACTATTATTATTATATGATACGCGATTAACATTAAGTATAAAATATAAATGTGAAAAAAAAATATTAGAAAATGGCATCAGCAATAGCAAATATGTTTTTTTGTTTTTAATTTTTTTGTTTAATTCTTAGGTAAATAGACAAAATTTACTTAATCGTAATTAGGTACATTTTACGTGTCATGTAATTGAAAAAAACTTKACACAGTAATACAATATACTTGAACTTGATTAAGCAACATAATAATGTATATGTATTTTCAATCAGATATTGTAATTTTTCATGACGTTACAGCATACTTAAATATATTATTATATTATTACATTATTATACATCGCTAACCGGTACCTAGTAGTTGTTCAGATTGTTACCTCCTATACACGTTTGGTTGCATATGTTGTATAATTAGACATTTTCAATGTATGTATGATAAGTGTGAAATATTATTATATTCTACCCTATATATTATTATATGGTTTTAATTATTATTATTTTTACTATMCACATCCTACGCTTGTTAACTCTTTGTCAAAAARCAATAAAAACATTATATAATTTGATSCTTCTATATTATAGACGYGTGGTACGAAAACAATCTATAGCAACACTGCACCTAATGGTGCCAAAATATATACTTAAATATAGATCATCGGTGATTTTGGTWGGTARGAGGGATACCTTTGTCATTTCAAATATATGATGGTAATTATTGTATTAGACATTACAGTTAATCGTGAACTAAAAGTCGATAATATTGCATAAAAACTATATTTAATGTGTGGTAAGGTAATTATAAGATATATGTGGATGTCAAAATTGTATGTGGAGGTGTCTGATGAAGTGATGACTGATGTCATAGGTAAAATTTTAGACTTGGCGCCACTATTACTGCATCAGAAACATCAAAAATATAAAGCGTATTATATTATGTAGTACCTATAATGCTGTAGAGAAATTTCAAAACATTCGTGAAAACTGCAGACACGCGATCGTCAAAACCCGAAAAACACAGTAAGTTTTAATTTTTTAATATACATAATAATACATATATATATATATATATAATATTAATTATTGTAATATAACCTAAACATTTATATTATGAATTTATTATATACATATACTATAAATATTAATAATATTTCACGTCTCAGTTAAGTATGATCAGGGTAGTTGGGCGTGATAATAAAAAAAAGTATCATAGTACACATAAATGAATTTAGTGTATCTAGGCACAAGATACGAGATACATGTTTTAAAGATACATGATACATTGATCGGTACTCCACACTTTTTATTTCCAATTTATTGAATTTCGTTAACTATACCTATACTGCATCTACATAAATATTTATAAAGTCATTAATACTGGTCACTGGATAATATACAATGAGTCAMTAAACTTTATACATTTATAACCAAATACACATCACTATTTATAAATTGCATCTTTCAAATCATATACCCACTCTTAATGAGTTATGACTTTACTTTAGATTTGATTTTCTATTTTATGTGAAAAGATTTACACTCAATACTCATAATATCTAGGTGGCGGATTCATCTTTTATGAAAACGAAAATTCCAGCTTAGATTTTATTTGTATGACTATAAGATATACCGCGGATATACGGGCACCTTAAGATTGTTTTATGTTTTTTAAATTATCTTACAAGTTACAACGTTGTTACATTTATTTTAAGTTTTGAGTGTCCTGGAAATCGAAATACCTTTTTATAAAGTACGATGCAATATGTAAACCATGGAAAAAATAAAGTTAGAATCATACAATTGACGACAAAACCTGATGCAGCAATTTATATTTTTTCATTTATATATTATTTAAATATGAATATGAATCGAAAATAAGTGGTAATTTAACATGGGAATGCGCTAATAAAACATGCAATGCCAAAATAATCGTTAACGAGGAAAAATCTATTAGATACAAGAAAAAACAATTTTGGAACAAAGTCATGAATCAGATTCTACAATTAAACGTCAAGCCGTAAGTAATAATAATATCAAACAAAAAATGTCTGAAAGCAATTTATTAAACGAAATGCCATTTAAATTTCGTAGTTTAGGAAACGATACAAAATTACTAAGTACAAATGTTTACATTATAGCAGTACCTTGTATCTTTTGGCAAAATAAAATACATGRCACTTGACACTTTAAAACAATGTATCACGATATGTCGATATAACTATATAAGATACGTGTATCTTTGATACTGCTCAACCCCGATTATGATTTTAATCTAATATAGTAGTTTCAGTAATTATATACTAACTATTTTTTGGTAGGTAGTGAAAAATGTATCATTTCATCATTAGACAGCAGTTKGTTATAGTCATTYATGTCAGATGTTATAAGTATTTAGTATAATATATACCTACGTACATATTTCTATAAGCATAAAATTTGGTTGTAAAAGATTATTGAATAAWCAATATTAATTTTGTGTTACTATACATTTTCGTCTAAATATAATGTAAAATAAAAATAATACACTGTGTATTACAGTATTACACACATATATGTAATTATTAAGAAAAAATACTTTAAAATATTGTTTTATATGTGTGAGAGATAGGGRGGAGTTCAGAGGGAAATCTCGCTACATTTGTCATTTATTACTCATAAATTACATAAATTAATAAATTATATAAAAATAGTGCAAATTCTATATTATTTTACTATCTCAGATTTATAACACAATTTTTATCGTTCAATTRAACTTTTTTTCGTTAGTGTGMTTGATATCATGCAGACATATAGTATAGTCCAAAAACAAAAGAATAAAAATAAAAATACCCGAAACGGTAAGTTTCTRTTATAAAATCGAGGAGGGTGAAAGTTTAAACGACCGGGAGTTTTTCTCTAACGACTTATGATAGTCAGTTGACGTATGTATGTACGCAAGAAGAGTCAATAACGCAGTCCCGTGTTCAAGACGTTCAAGTAGCAGTCAAACAGTTTAATCTGTACCTGCCTATACCTACCTCCCGACCTATCTATMCATCACAAATATGGACACGGGCAATAATATTATTATGATGTCGACATATTTTTATCTGCGTATAACACTCTACTGCAGTAAAACGCCCCTACGCTCTAGCCACGCCGCCAGTGAGTATCACATGACGTATCGTGCATATAATGATAGCAAACGCTGAAACGTTTTAASATAAAATTACTTCCCGAAATTGCACAATTCATTGTAAAACTATAATATACATGTGAGTGTGTGTGTCGTATTGTCGTTACAATATGGATTTAGTGCCGGATATAGGCTCTTAATGTCTTTATGGACTACGGTCGATTATATACAATATAACAACAGTGGGGATCGCAGGGACGACAATAATAAAACGTGTAATTCCCTTCGTTCCCCCTCATCGCCACCCTCCGCGTAACGTCCCCACAATTTACGACGATTCCCGGAATACAACACACCGATACATATGAATAATATACGCGTCGATCCCCTCGGGATACGCCGCCAGCTTTCAATCGAATTAACCAAGTAAGAAGCGTGTCGCAAACCAAATTTCTGGACGAAAAAGAAAGACGTTTTACGCGCGATCGCATGACAGATTTACGCGCTGGAAAAAACAATTTTGATAATAAGTGCTTTATATATGTGTGATAAGACTCGTCGTTACACTGCAGCTCACTGATCGCACGCAAAAATTATATCATTTAAATTTAATTCCTTTCACGAAAACTGATTAGAAACGAACGAACAGTCGATTAAAATTTAATTTGAAGAAAAAAAATATCTAGGGGACACCCGGGTTTGAACCGGGGACCTCTCGATCTGCAGTCGAATGCTCTACCACTGAGCTATATCCCCACGACATCAAGTTAGCTATTAGTTAGTTTGATAGACAAACATTTTTAATAATTTAACTATATATTGTTATGTGATGAATTGACACGTTTTGCTTGTCACGTCATCGTCAAATAAACTGATTAAATTATATTCATAATATTTATTAAAAAAATATTTGGTACGCAACAATCAGAATTATTATCCAGCACTGTAAGACATCTTGTTGAGATTTCATCGACATGTCATGTATCACAGAATTGACACAGATTATAACTTGCGACTTGTCGATGGATTATCTACAATTTTATAATAATAACACAACTGAGTATAGGTACTAGGTAGAACGTATAAGTCTATTGTTGGATACTGAGTGTAACAGAAAGACCTGATGAAAAAAAAAAATTATGCTAATTCAACTTATGGCAAAAATTGTTAATACTATATGATAAGTAAATAATTTAAAAAATATACTCATGTCAGCAAATTTTCAAAAATCATATTTTTTAAAAAGTTATTAAGTTCCAAATTAATTTAACCAAAAAAATATTGAATTTTAAAAAATTTTCTAAAAAATAAACTACTTGACTTAGTTAAATCTGTTAACCATAAAAAATGTTTATATAATCAAATTCACAAATAGGCTATTTTGAATTTATCCAAACATTTTTTTATTTTCAGTACTAATCGGTACTGTCGTACCTTCAAAAATAGTATTCACTATAATTTTTTGTAATAGGTGATTTAGGTGATTTTACTCAAGGTAATCTAAAATCTTAAAATAATAACTTTAAGTGATATAGCGTAGTTTTATCTATGTTGTGCATGACGCGTAYAAGTATGAGAGAAAAAAACAAATATTGCACTTACCAACTCTTATTCAGATCATCCAGATTATGGTTACATAGGTAAATATTTAGTAATTACTATTGATAGATATTAAGCATAAATTAAAGATTGATGTAAATTACAAACCGAGGGTTAAATTCTTAAAACATTATACATTTAAACGATACATTAAAAAGGATTTTTTTTTAAAGAAAAACAAAATATGTAATTATCAACTATTTGTTTTATAACATATTTTTTGATATTTTCTAGGCCCACATCATGTACCTCTCGCAGCCTCATCACAATGGGCGCCCGTACAGACAGATGGACTAACCATTAGGCGTTTTAATTTTATAAACAAATACTACGTACCATACTGATAATGGGGATGGAAATAAAAAGTTAAGTAATTATTATTGTATAATTTATCRCGAACCGCATCATTTATTTTGTTCCCAGCAAAATCTTGCTCTTTATACAACGATATAAAAATAATAGTAATAGGTAATGATAATAATACGTTGAAATATGTGTACATATTATAAAGTGTAAGCGTTTACATTATTCGTATATTGAAAGTAAGTATATAGTAATAAAGTATAAGTAGTATGCATATTATAAACATACACATAATACACTCACAGAATTATACCCACACACATCGCGCATAATATATTATAACTACCTACTCTAATATCGCGGCTACGCATCTGTCGCTGCTGCTGTGTATATATCTATATATTATATGTATATTATTATTGTATTAAAGCATCGAATAGGCAATAATAATAATAATAATAATTCGGGACTCGAGCACGGCGCATATATAATAATCATTATATGGTTATATTATACGCCAACGTATACGGCACAGACTTTTTCAGGGGTGGCAAGGTGCGGGAGGGGGGCGTTTGTTGTAGAGGAGAGGGAGCGTTTTGATTAAATCCCGAATACGTGTGGCGGCCACAAATGGGATTTTCCGTCGTAGGTAGCGCGATGGCTGGTAACGGTGTGTGGGCAACAAATGGTGGAGGAGGAGGTTTCAGAGGGTTATAGGGCGAAACGCATCGTTGGCAAAGGACGGCAACGGCGGCGGGGAGGTTCAAAAGGATTGCATAATGTTTGTGCTACGGCGCGGTGGCTGAAATGAAATCACAAACGAAATGGCGGACACGAATCGAATTTGGTCACTTTACAATATAACCTAACCTCCCCACCACTCGCCCGCCCCTTTGTATAACTGCATAACTTGCCATTCGTATATATTTATATGCGRCAACAAACCAGCAAGCGCACATGTACCTCTATATTATTATATTTTACCTATTTTCAGTATGTAATTTGTCATGCGTATTATATATGTATGTTGTACAATATATATATATATATATATATATGCAATGTGCATACATCATACACCCGCACATAGTATATTATATTATATTATACGCATGCAGTATAAGTATATGTGCATTTGTAGCTGGTTCGCGTCGACTACATTTTGCTTTGCAATATTTTTATTTAAGATATTATATTATAATATAACGTATAGTGTATAGATGAAATATTTAATATAATATTATGATATCAGAAAATAATATTATGTTGTTACCTGTATTATTTATTGCCGTGGTACACCATCACTGCAACTCACGGTTAGGAATCAACCGCACGAAAAAGAAGAGTGAAATATTGATATACGAGCTCTTATCATAGATTATGATGATAACATAACTATTAATATTTATAATATATATAATATATATACATATATATATATGTTTTGTGTATGATATATGTATTTATATATGTGTGGATATTATTTAAATGTGGAAAATAGAAGAAAACTCGGTAAAAAACTATAATACATATATAGAGGCACTATACGTAAAGATGATATACAAATATGGAAATATAAGTATGGCAATATGTATTTTAATTGTACCTACCCATAATATCTACATACGATAAACGAAACGTACGTCGATAATACAACCCAAAACTTCATCGTATTATTGTGATTAATATAATATACTGACATAGGCACTTTGTACTTATACCAGTTATACCTATATGGTTTTTCGAGTAAGAACATAGTTACTAGAAATTTTCGAAAAGTACGTTAACATCTAACGTTTTATCAGAATTTTACAATTCTTCGTAGACATTCTAGTTACGTATTTGGCTGAAACAAAATGTAAAGCGAAATTTGTAAGCACCTATACTTATCCAATTGAAACACAAATTCAAAATTTGCAAATTGATGTTTAAAATAAATGTTGTTCTTTTTTTATTAGGTATTCAAAATCAAAAAGATGTTCAAAGTATTTTGAAAATGCATACATTTTTAATTTGAATACCAGACAGCGTTTTTGAAATTTGAATTTTAACAAAATTAGATGTGTTTTTTTATTATTATTTAACAAATACGCCTCAACTACCAGGGTTATTGACGTTTCAAAATACATATTATAGTTTACTTAATTTTTACAAAATAATAAATTGTAAATAGATGAAAAATTGATACAATAAGTTTTAGGAGAAATATGTTTACATTTTGTGTGATATTCTAAGTTTAAATTAGATATGTATTTAAACGAAAAGTAACGATTTTATCTAACGATATATGAATTATTATATAGGTAATTTGCCCTAAATCAAGAAATATGAAACGTAGAGACTTGAAACATTTCAACATTACCTAAAATTATATAAACATTTTCTCGTACGATATGCAAATTATAAAATGTATTCGTAAAATTAAACTCGATGGCGATTGTAAGATTCGAACACTATAAGAAGCGACCGAATTACCGATTACGCCGGTTTTTTGTTAACTGTGGATGAAATCGATCGTGATCAATATAATATGATCTTCTGCAGAAATCCGGTATTAGMAGTGTAAAATTTTTTAAACCGTGCTACGCGATGACGGATGTCGTCACGTCATTATTTTGTCACGGCGATTTCATCGGTCTCGGATTTCGGAACGACGACGATGGCGTGAATTATTATAAT